ATGCACGGTTGGTTTGCTCTTGGATGGGGTTAAGGTAGATTATTGAGGGGTGGAGGGGTTGGGGGTGTATGTTGTTTATATGTTTTGCTTGAATAGGTAGAATCCGAACAACAAGTGCAGAAAAACAGATTTACAATACAAATGTTCAGACTCAATCTTACACGCGGCACAGAATTATACTTCTGGGACTTAAGGCGTAATTTTAAGTGACCCCAGACACGCTTGTTATTGTTGATAACATTGTATATTACATTCGGAATATAACGTTTTTTTAAATAAGTTTTATTCAATAAAATTGTTAAATTTTTAAATATATTGGACTATAAAAATGATATGTAAAACATCAGAAAACTTCAGAACTTCCTCTCAAAATTTCCATATATGAACCCTCACATATAAAAAAAATATATGAGATGTTTAACTCACAATGATGCTTTGATAAACATCGTAACATTTCACGGGTTAAGAAGAGAGGTTGCGTGATTAAAGGGAGTGTTCGCGAAAAATGAAAGGGGGTATGGGTCAACAAGGTAGTGAATTCATGTAGAGGAAACCGAATGAATCTCGGCCTGGTTAGTCCGGGGTGAGGGATTGAAAACACACAATATAAACACAAACCATCACACAAACTCTTTTTAAATAAAACCTAGAGTAATAACAACCATGATATAATTCCATAACTGAGAGAAACTATCATAAGGGATAAANTGTAATGTTTTATGAGTGTAATGTTTTATGAGTGTAATGTTTTATGAGTGTAATGTTTTATGAGTGTAATTTTTTATGAGTGTAATGTTTTATGAGTGTAATGTTTTATGAGTATAGTGTGCTTGATCTAAGTAGCGTTTTATGAGTGCAATGTTTTATGAGATTAAGGTTTTATGAGTGTAATGTTTTATGAGATTAAGGTTTTATGAATGTAATGTTTTATGAGATTAGGGTTTTATGAGTGAAATTTTTTATGAGAGTAATGTTTTATGAGTGTAATGTTTTATGAGTGAAATTTTTTATGAGAGTAATATTTTATGAGTGTAATGTTTTATGAGTGTAGCGTTTGATCTAAGTAGCGTTTTATGAGTGTAGCGTTTTTATAGTTACACCCATTCTATTATATATATATATTCATTATCTGCATAGTCAATATAAAGTTTCGTGGTTTTTACAAAGATGTCTTCTAGAAAAATTATTAATTTCAGATATTTAAAAATAAAAGATTTATAGTTAAAGCTAATATTTGGTCGAGTTAGCAGGTGTATAAGTTTCAATTAAATAGATAATAAAAAGATATATAGATAGATAGATAGAATATGTAGATAGATATATAGATTGATAGATAAATATATGGATAGATAGATAGTTAGATATATGATAGATAGATATACAGATAGCAAGATATAATACATAGATAGATATATGTGAAGTAATATCAACAAATATTTAAACATTTATTTAGATAGATAGATAGATAGATAGATAGATAGATAGCTCTTGTTTAAGTTCTATGTCTGTCTATGCACGGTTGGTTTGCTCTTGGATTCAATGAACTCTATAATTCCTCAAATGTTTGAACAAAAACTAATAATCCGCTCTTTTCGTTTTAAAAGTTTCTCCTTCAACAATTCAAGGGAAACCTCTCTGGTTACTTACAGGGTGATACCCAGAATACTATATGGATATTCTACAGGGTGATGCCCAGAATACTAAATGGATATTCTATAGGGTGTCCAAGAACAACTCTATGGATATTCTACAGGGTGTCCAAGATAAATTTTATGGATATTCTGCAAAGTATTCTAGAAAACTGATAATTTATGGATATTCTACAGGGTATTCTAGAATACTGGATAATTAATGGATATTCTACAGGGTATTCTAGAATACTGGATTATTAATGGATATTCTACAGGGTATTCTAGAACACTGGATTATTAATGGATATTCTACAGGGTATTCTAGAATACTAGATAATTAATGAATATTCTACAGGGTATTCTAGAATACTGGATAATTAATGGATATTCTACAGGGTGTTCTAGAATACTGGATAATTAATGGATATTCTACAGGGTGTTCTAGAATACTAGATGATTAATGGATATTCTACAGGGTGTTCTAGAATACTAGATAATTAATGGATATTCTACAGGGTGTTCTAGAAAACTGGATACTCCAGAGGGGCGTTATAGAATTATCTATATAAATAAAGTAGTAGTCTCTGTTTGCTGGTTTGGATGTCAGATCAGATCATGAACCCCTGGACCCCTGGACCCCTGGACCAAATTGCCTCAGATTTTGATCGCGGGCAACACAGTAGAACACGGACATCTGTACAGTCTGGTTTAAAAAGTCTAAGTTGAATAGGAAAAACTTAATTTTCAGTTTTCTTGGATCCTTATCATGCTTCTATTCATTTAAATGTAAGAAACTAAACCTTAATAAATGCATAACAATTACAAAAATTAGTTTATTTAATTAAAAATACTGTTATAAAAAAATTGTTATAAAAGATTGTTATATTCCTCAGTAACACAGAAGGGCAGTTTTGCATCAGTGAGAACGGTGAAAGCTCTGCCATCAAACTTTTCTCTAAAAAAGAGAATGGTGACGTAATTTCAACAGATCCTGTATTTAAAGAAATTTAGCACGCACAACTTACGACATCAAAGTGCATTATATTTGAATCGGAATATTTTCAGTATTATTTTGACTTCTTATGCCTGTTTAACCAGAACCTCTAGCTTACCGTGAAATGCATGATGCCTGATGCCGTTTTTTTTATCTTTTGAAAGAAACATCAATTTTTGAAATTTTTAATTTTGAGATAGAAAAACAAGGATATCTCCATCATTCTTCCAAAGAAAAAGTTTTCAAGGGTATCTTTTTCACTCTGGACAATTGTTTCAAGGAAACAAGGTCTAGGAAAGCCTATTTTTTCAGTGTTTTTTCTTTGCCACGGGCAACGCCGGGCACTTCAGCTAGTTTTGTCATAATTTTGTTGAAAAATAAGAGAATAATTTGAAAGATTAAACAAAGAAGTTATTGTTTATACCTGTCTACATAGTACCCCATAGTAGGTAGCACTGCTGTCAGATTGTTACAACTATTAGGTATCAAAGTTGTGTTGACACATACCTATGGAATACTTAGTTACAGGTAGTTACAGCCTACAGGTAGTTACAGGTAGTTTCAGGTAGTTTCAGGTAGTTTTAGGTAGTTTTAGGTAGTTTGTTAGTTTAAGGGTAGTTTCAGGTAGGTTCAGGTAGTTTCAGGTAGGTTTAGGTAGTTTCAGGTAGTTTCAGGTAGGTTTAGGTAGTTTCAGGTAGGTTCAGGTGGGTTCAGGTAGTTTCAGATAGGTTCAGGTAGTTTCAGGTAGGTACAGGTAGGTTCAGGTAGGTTCAGGTAGGTTCAGGTAGGTTTAGTAAATATGTAGGTAGATAATTGATAAGATGGTAGGTAGATAAGCAGGTAGGTATGGTAGGTAGGTAGGTAAATACCTGTAGTGCTGGGCATGGAGCCTCTAGACTAGAGATAAAGAGATCATGAGACCTGGAATGTGAGCAGGATCCTATATCAGCTACCTACATCAACAACATCCATCTTTATATCACTGTCATGAAAAGGTTTCAAGGTCTTACGCAAAAATCGATGAGAATTTTGCTAGGACCTTCTTCAATACTAGAGCTAAAAACAAGAACTTGATAGTTTTTAACTGTACATGTTTAGGGCTACAAAAAAGCATAAGTTAGTTAAAGCGGAAAAAGTCGAACCTGTCTTAAAAATAGATGCAACATTTCAGAGCAGGCTGAATCTATGTGTTACTTATTAATTTTCAGCTGGGTTGTTGGCATTCTTAAAAACGTAAAAATGGTTGAAATGGTCATGACCGAGGAATAAAAGTGTATGGCCAGTAGAATTAATAACTTTTGCCTTTAACATTTTCGGTTTTTAAAAAATGCCAGAAAACCAGAAAATAAATAAATCCGCTCAAGATTATTTTAATCATTTCAAACAGTCTGAAAAGATTGACGATAAAGATCAGAAATGAAGAACTAACATTACATACAGTCGAAATGAAAAATTAAAATAAATAGATCAAAAATACAAAAAAAAATAACCTGCCAGCATCCGGGCTGGTTCCATCCAAACTCAAGATCTGATCCTACATTTAACAACATTTTAGATTTGACACAATTTAAGATTATAATTCTGATCCTGGTTTTATAAAACTTGATTTTACAACACTGGATTTAAAAATCTTATAAAAAATTCAATAATTTGCGTTTCCTAAACATATAAAAGTAACCTTGTGATACCCAGACAACTCTGGAATAGGAAGACGACTTTTAAACTCAAGTTATAACTTTAAATAGTCCTGAACATGAGACACAACATTGTGCAGTGTAAACAGACCCATTTCTGTACTGTATAAGTAATTATTAGAAAAACAAATGTTTTGTAACAATATTGAATGCACTTAAGTATTGCTGCAATGTCGTCTACCTCTTCCACAAAATATTCTGGTTTTACTGTGGGTAAAATAAGAAAATAACTATTTATGTACTGGAATATACCTGGATAGAAATCTACATGCCCAAGTTCTAGCATTGTACCGTACTGCGGTACAACTTCAAATGAGAATCTGGAAATATTATTATTTGTTATAGCAAATATTTATCAGATATAGAATATGGATGCACTCTAAGAAATGTAAAATTTTTATTGAACAATATTTGTTGGAGCATAGGAGCCAAATCCAACTTAGTAGCTTAATATCTTCAAATGTTAATGAATTATAAATTTCATCGAAAAAAAATTGCCGAATGATGCCACATGCGTTGAATTTGGCGGAGTTAAATATTATAGAAACCGAACCTATAGAAACCGCTAGGTATAGCAACAAGGTGTATTTTGCAGGAGAATACTTTTACATTTTTGAGAAATTACTTTTTTTTGGCAAAAATAAACTGTTAAAATAATGTTCATAAAATACTTTTTTTTTTATATTGTAACACGGAATTTTATGTAATCATGGAAGCATTCATTTATGATGTCAGTACACCTTAAACCAATAAAGAGCAGTACACATGTACATATTAATCTAGTTAGTTATATAGTCAAGGGTATGTTTAAAATAAATAAAAATAATGATATTGATAATGATAAGCTGCAATGTTTTACAAAAAAGTTAAATTTCTCTATAAATATAAAAAATTTTCTGCCGCAAAATACGCCTTGTTACTATACCTAGCGGTTTCTATACGTTCAGTTTCTATAATATTTGACTCCGAATTTGGCGTCAGTGCTCCAACAAATTTTGTTAAAAATTTGAAATTTCTTAGAGTTACCCACAAAAGATGATACTTTAAAGACGACCTAAAATGTTTTTTCTTAAATGTCGAATTTGTTTTTCTGCCGAACATTTAGCTTAAGAATGATATTCTGAATGAAGTTTGAAGGAAATAAACAATGTATAAAGAAAGGTTGTAGAATGTAGATTATCTATATTTTTAATTTCTAAATTCTTGACAAAAAGAATCATCTTTAATTCTATATTTTTTGAACCCTAAAAAAATCATCAAGGCTGAAATGCTTTCCCCTCCTTTTNTTATTTTCTATTATTTAAGTAAAATACAATGGAATTTGGTATTTATATTCAGCATATCTTTTCTCCTTAACTTACCAAAACTTTAGACTTAAAACTTTTAAACTGAACTACAGCTGATGCCGGTTCAAAGTTGAACCACAGATTCAAAGTTAAAATTTCAGGAAGGATTTGATCCGACGGTAGACAGTTCATTAAATTCGGTCCTAGGCATGCTGCTTGACTGCCTTATTTTTAAATTAAATCTTTCTAAAGACAAAATGTTGTTTATAATAATGAATGATCAATTATGAATCATCATAAATTATGAATCATGGATAAATAAAATTTAAAGTCGGTGTTAGGTCATGGTATTAAGAATACTGAACACTAAAGAAAGATAAGAAGAACAGCCTATCTGCCTCTATCTATCTATCTATCTATCTATCTATCTATCTATCTATCTATCTGTCTATCTATCTATCTATCTATCTATCTAAATATCTATATATCTATTTGTATCTACTATCTGAAGATAAGCTACCTTCTACACAACACTTTATCAATCTATTAACAATCAATTAATCACTATATACACATTAGCATTGGGCTTAATGCTTACTCACTATTCATACTGGTACAAGTAGATTATTAATATATCTAGGAGTAATAACTGACAATTTAGCCTTTAAACGCCAAATCGACGTTATATTGAAATCAAGTTACTGAATCAAGGTTATGCATGTTATTGCATGTAGTCTTGGATATGCTCATTTATTACAAATTTGCCAATTGTAGAGATGACCTGATGGGTGTCCCATTCTGAAAACTTCTAGGTCATATATGATGCTGGTTACATTTATTTTACAATTTAATCTACTAGGCTTTTAGGGGTTCCCTTTCCTGTAAATACTTTTAGCTTTAGCTTGTAATTGTTTCAATTTAAATCATTTCAAATGTTGACTGATTTTTCTTTTCAAATTGGCACATATTCCATTTTTTCCAATTTTGACGGTCCATAAACCTTCCTTGGGGTCATGTGAGGTCCATCACAAAATTTGGGCTAAATTGGTAAAGTCGTTTTGACGTTTTCAGTTACAAACAAACAGACAAGCAAACTGCAAAGTTTATTTTAAATGAATATGAACGTTTTCAGAACAGGCGTATAAAATGATTGCCATCATCTTGCATGCATAGTTCAGATTCAGCTCTTCTTGATACTACTTAAATTTTTAATATCAGTAAAACCAATTTTGTTCTTTTTTTCTTTCATATCGGTAAAACCAATATTGAAACCTTTGATAAGTTTGAATAAAGTATTGAAAAAAAACATTCATGAATATGTTTAATACCTCCTTGATCTTACTTTATCAAAAACAGTGTGTTAAAATTTGACAGTTTAAAAATAAAGTTTGAATTAAAAAATGAAGCACGTATAGACTATAGTTCTTCAGCTGAATATAACTAAGTACGGTTTCTATTGGGAATATTAGCGCAAACTGTTTAGTATCAATTAGGACATTTATGATGCTTTCACATGTAACCTAACATAACCCAAGCTGTGGACATCTCTAAAATATCATTACGCTGTAGGAAAGCATCAAAAATGTTCCTTTTTGAAAATACTAAAGCATCAAAACTGTCACTTTAAGATATAATGGCCACAGAATCCAGATTAAGTTACTTTAAGACACATTTTAAGTCCCAATTCTAACTCAAACCCAAGTGTTAGTCATGGTAAGACATATTTTAAATCACAGTTCAAAGTCATCGGTTACATCAACGTCATACTTTTAAGACCACATTATGTCAAAGACACTATATAAGTCACACTTCTAAGTCACAATTATGTCTAAAACACTTTCGAAGCCACAAATTTGACACATTTTAGTACACTGTTTAAGTAACAAATGTGTCTTACACACATTCTAACCCGTTAACATCTGGACCGATTTGCCTCAATTTTGATTTGGGAACTCGGGAGAACCAAGGAAATGTTCTTAGCTTGGTTTTGAGATTATAAGTTAAGTGGGTCGACTTTTATGGGGAAAAATAGGTAAAAACGTAATTTGATACCAATTGCGGGCAAACGGCGGGAGTAACTATGAGTACCCTCGGCAACGCTAGGTTCCCAAGCCAATGAAGTATGAGGTGTATTTTTTCTAGAAATAATCTGATCTTTTCAATTGTTCGATATATTTTATATTTTATTATTATTATAGATTCTTAGAATTTGAAATTTTGAAATTAATTTAAAGCAGACAAATATATTCAGACCGGCCATAATTTTTCACTGGGGTGATGTGAGTTACCATAAAAAATTTGACTAGATCGGTCGGAGCCATTTCTGACGAAAATTGGAATTAAAAAAAAATGAATAAGCCAAACATGTTTCTCTCGATGTAATTTGAATTTTTAAAATTTATATGACACGTAAATAACTTACAAATCAGTCATATTCAACAAATGCGCAGTATACTAGAACAATGTATGTGTCACTGTTATCTAAATATAGTGTTTAATAAAAAAGATTCACTCTGAAAAGTCACAACCCAGTATTCATTTTTTTATGAAGATAAGAAATATTTGTTTTTTTTAAAGGAGCACAATCATGTTACAGTTAATTAAGAGCTAACATTACTATGCAGGATGTCCCAATAAAAAAATGAGCGTGACCATGTTATAAATTCGTCTAAGTAACATAATTTTACCATGTCATATCCACCTCATTTTAGTTCCAAAATTGAGAATTGTAAAATAATAAGAATAACTTTATTCCAATTGATCATGCAAAGGTTGAAAGAGTATTGTTGTGAATCATACATGCTGCTTGGTAAATGGAAGATCGCTTGAGTCACGAATGCATGGTACCTACAACAAGCAGTTTGCCTTGCATATAGTTCTAGGTAGGGTTTCCATACACAAAAACTTAATTTAATTTAAGGACGAGGCACTGAGCAACTACCACAAATTCCAGATCCTCCAACCACCACCAACCTCCCCCCCCCCTACCAACCACGCCATCCTGATCCTTACCAATGCATTCAAAAATACAATCAAAGAAAACCGAATCCACACCCTAACTTCTTCATCTACGACCGCTCTGACCTCGAAGCCTCCTACCAAACTGCCGTGAACATCATCAACTCCCACACCATTATGTCCACCCTTTTGCCCTCCTCCCTGCCCAACAAACGAGCCCAACAACCTCATGCCAGCTTCAAGGCCCCCAAGCTTGATACACCAAACTGGAGTGGCAAATCATGTGAATTTTACCCTTGGTTGTCAGCTATCCTGAGCAGATTCACCATAACCAGAGCCAAAAACGTTGTAAAAGTGGCTCTCACCCTACAGACCATCCCGCTTACTAGACAAGGACCCTTCAACAACATCACTGAGTGGTACATCTGTAGGACCAAGTTGATTGAAGAATTCGGAAGCATTGACATCTCTGGTAGAGACGTCAACCAAACATTTGACCTCCTCCCTCGAAATGAATTTGTTCAAGAAGTGGCTGAAGACCTCTCCCCCAAGATCAAGACTCTCCTAGCCAACCTGGAGTTGGCTAGGAGTTCCACAACAAGGAGAACTTCCACAGCGTTGTCCTCACCCAGACATTGGTCCAGAACATTTTGAGAAGCCTCCCCGTGGAGGTGAGGCCGTCCTTCAATTCTCTCAATTCCAAGGACAGTGTCCAGACAATGTCCAACCTCCGCGCCGGACACATTAGACATACAAACAAACAAACAGAGATTACTACTATATATATTTATAGATAGGATAATACTTCAAAAAATCAACAAACATTCAAAATTATCATGACGTTTAGAATAAAAATATGCCTGCATTATAATAAAAGAAAAAAGGCGGATTGAAGGCAATGTTTTCTAATCTTTAAAAAGAGAAAGTAAAATATTGAAAGCTCTTGAAAACATCAAGTAATGGAAAATACATTCATGGTTAAAAGCAGAATTCTATAAGAAACTAAATAAATGGTGTGCAACTGCATAAATTTTGTTAACAATGAGAGATTTTACAATAAACTTACAACTTTTTAGATTAAATTTTTGTAAGACAAACATTTTAAAAAG